CGTAGCTGGATTTCTCTTTTTATCTAAACTACATTTTGTTCTGTACTAGAGTCTGTTTATGATTAATGCTGAATGTTTGTGCTACAGCTTTGAGTTACTGTGGTTGTGATGTGTTTATCACTGACTTTTCAGACACGGGAAAAATCATATTAAAATTTTCCTGCTATTAGTTTTAAAATAGCAACATTTCCACACTAATTAATCAGAGATGATCACTATGTTCTTAATACAGATATACCATGTTGGTCTCACTTTATATTAAGTGGCCCTAATACCTGTGTACTTACATAGTAACTAGATGTGTACATCTACAGCTGTAATGTTTGTGTAACTATACAATCTATCTAACAACCCACTGAATGGTATGTGTAAATACAAATGTTTAACAGGACATTGGTAACAGCACTTTTTGGTAATGAAAGTACAAATGTGTAACGGGATTAACAGCACGTTTTGGTAAATAAAGTGTTACACTTTATATTAAGTAAACCATTCCTATGGATTTACCATGTAATTACTCGTTACACAACAGCGGCCAGTAAGTTAGGCTTTACATATAAATTGTGGTTGGTGTCCAGAATGTTACACTTTATATTAAGTAAACCATTCCTATGGATTTACCATGTAATTACTCGTTACACAACAGCGGCCAGTAAGTTAGGCTTTACATATAAATTGTGGTTGGTGTCCAGAATGTTACACTTTATATTAAGTAAACCATTCCTATGGATTTACCATGTAATTACTCGTTACACAACAGCGGCCAGTAAGTTAGGCTTTACATATAAATTGTGGTTGGTGTCCAGAATGTTACACTTTATATTAAGTAAACCATTCCTATGGATTTACCATGTAATTACTCGTTACACAACAGCGGCCAGTAAGTTAGGCTTTACATATAAATTGTGGTTGGTGTCCAGAATGTTACACTTTATATTAAGTAAACCATTCCTATGGATTTACCATGTAATTACTCGTTACACAAATGGACAGCACCTGAGTTAAATATATGAGTGTCACAGCAAAGGGTCTGAATACTTAGGACCATGTGATATTTCAGTTTTTCTTTTTTAATAAATCTGCAAAAATTTCAACAATTCTGTGTTTTTCTGTCAATATGGGGTGCTGTGTGTACATTAATGAGCAAAAAAAATTTACTTAAATGATTTTAGCAAATGGCTGCAATATAACAAAGAGTGAAAAATTTAAGGGAGTCTGAATACTTTCCGTACCCACTGTATGTCCTGTTACAAATTTGTACTTACACAAACCATTTGGAGGGTTGTTACATGTGTGTAGTTACAGAAATATTACAGCTCTAGATACTATGTACCAATGTGTACTTACATTGTGGTTACATACTACGTACACATCTAGTTACTATGTAAGTACACAGGTATTAGGGCCACTTAATATAAAGTGGGACCATATATATTGTATATTATACATAATTTTTGTATATTAAACAAATGTTTATGAAAAAATGTAATCTGGCAACATAAAAGTCCTTTTCAATATTTTACCTGCTATGAAGTCAAAACGTCTCTCTCTCTCTCTCTCTCTCTCTCTCTCTCTCTCTCTGATGTCAAACAGATGTAAAAAATTTGTTTGGGATTTTTGACAATTTTGCATTTTCATTTTTAGTAACTAGCAACACCAGAAAAACAAAATTGATACTGCAAAATATGATTATTTTGTCAACAGCACAACTTTTCTCATTCATTGCGGTGATATAATCGATGGAGCTGAAAGGAAAGAGCAAATAGGAAACAAAGGAAATGACCAGGGAAAGCACATTTTTTTATTAATCCAAAATAATACTTTGATACACATACTTCTACTTTTTCAGGTCTGTAGCCCATTTTGAATCAGTGATATGAAAACCAGCACAGCATCCGAAGCTCAAGGAGCTGCTGTCCGTGGTGCTGAAAACAGTCATCCCACAATCTGCAGGACAAAGTACTTTCCCTCCCAGCTTGATTTATATTTATAGATCCTCCTTATGTGTGATATTGTCTGCGGTGAACAAGATATTGTGCCGTGCGTTACTTTACACTGCCTGTGCTGTTTCTCAGATGGGTTTGAACCTCAGCTTCATATATTACCACCTTAGAAGTTTAACATATTCATTGATCTTCCTCTGCGCCTTCATGTGTATCTGCCAATGTTTCAGAGTCTGACCAGAGTGTGTGTTCTGTGTGTGTTGTTCGCAGTGAGTGATCCCATACTCGGATTCAATGCCCTCTACATGAGATTGATGTGTCTCATAAGTATCCCAAGCCTCGCCAGGACCTGTTCTTCCCGGATTTCACGGGAAAGGGTTTCAGACACGTCTAGCCAGAGGTGCCTCTCTTCCTGCATTCAAAGCACCGGCGAAGCACGAGCCCTGAGCTCGGAGCCTTGAAAGCCAAGCTTACAAACACTTGTCAGCTAGAGGCCTTTAATAAGCTGTCATAGGCCTTCCCAGCGCCGCTGAGCTCCCCTCTGTGAGGACATTAAGTTCTTACAAGCAGCATCTGTTTCAGGGCCAGGCACCTGCCTCTGGCCCTAGCGCTCCGCTAATGCTTTTCTACCTTCCCTTGACCACGCTCCCTGCTGTTAGCCACTATGTTTTAGCCTCGCCACCAGTGACCTATGCACAGATGGACACGCACACACACTTGCGCTCACAGACATCTGCTGGTCAGCCTCCATTATGCTCCTGGAAATCTTAATGTGCTCTCAATCTCTTCTGTGAGCCAAAAGGTGCCGTTTTTTTCTCCTCGCTCAAGCATTTCATTCCTCAGGGCGCTTGGGTCCCATCTCCACCGAAAGCTTGCACAGTATCCCTCTGTCTTTTGGGTTTTTCTAGCTTCTCTCTGTAGACCGTAGAACATTCTGGTTGCTACCCTCTGACAAGATTTAGTGTGTGTGTGCATGCATGTGTGTGTGGTTTGCCATCCTTGTTATAAATGCTCGCTGCCCACATCCCTCCCACGGCCCATACTGGTGGCTATTTTCCTCCAATGCACCACATATCATCCCCTCGTGTTCCTTAGCACAAAAGAAACTCATTCAGACTGAAGATCTCCACCTTGAAAAGCATTGGAGTGTCTCATGTAGTGTCAGCGACCGCCGGTAACGCCGGCTTGCCGGTTTCCAGTGTTCAGATGGCAAAATCTCAAGACAGAAACAATAACTTGAGGGTAAGATCCACAATAAAGTTTCTTGCGCAGCAATTACAGAGCGTGGCACAGAGGCTGCATTTCAATCAAACGTGATGGGCTACAAGAAGTTAGACAAAAGGGCTTTTCCTCAAAAGCGCCTCATTTCTATCTCTTTGTTTGCTGCTTTGTGCTCATCCCTTTCCTTTCACTCACTCTGACACTTTACCGCCATTAAAAAAAGAAAAAACATAAAAAAGAGATGTTTTATGGGCCCACACATGCTATGAACAAACACAATCATATTCAGAGGAAAACAGAAATGCCCCGAAGCATTGCATTTCCAACAGATGTCTGAGGAGCCCGGAGCCTGGTACGACAGAGGCACATCACATTTCCGTTTGGCACATCTCAGCCGTATCTCTGAGTTATGACAGTTTGCGCTACTCTCAAGATGCACGCGATTCAAATCTCATTCATTATGAATGCCAGTGATTTGGAGGGCTGCCATCACGTTGCTCTCCAGAACCACAGCACCAACAGAAGAGGAGATACGGCTTCACTATAAAACACACTTTATTCTGCTCCAGATGTTGCGAGAGCTGGGTTATTTTCCTTCATTTAAAAGTTCTGAGGGACTCGAGCTGTATCCGATTCAATGTTTTATTTTTGTCTTTCTCATTACTTTAACAAGTGACTAAAAAGCAGGACATTTTAGGCAGATCTGACTTGTTGCACTCACATTCCTGCAGCTTAAAGAAGAATGAGTGTTCGAATTACAAGGGGTTTAGAGAAGGTCAAGACCCCTTATTTTTTAGTCATAACCCCTCTAGTTATCTCTACAATCAGGCTGAGAGGGTGGAATCTAACCTCCCCTCGAAGTGTCATATAAAATTGTTTTTACATTGTAATAGTATTTCATAATATTACTGTATTTTTACCAAATAAATACAGCCATGTTGATATAGATATAAGATATAGATATTAGGGGAAACCGGGCTTACTTGTCTCTTGAATTATGGAAAAAAAGTTGTAAAAGGTAATGTACATTTTATTCTAATTTAAACCAACATACAAAATCACTGTTAGAGATAAACATTTGTTTAACTTGACTTTGGAATCAAAACCTTATCGTTACTGAGATATAGCACTTTTCCTCGTGTGACAACTAGCCCCGGTCTCCCCTGCAGATCAAATTACAGAAAGTATTTTGTCCCCTGAAGCTTTGTTAGAATTCAAACATTGGATAGCACATTCATAAAATGACTGCAATCCTATCGGAAAGGTGCACATGCAGTATAGATTTTTTTTATGCCTACTGAATGAGAGGAAGATGAGAGGCAGAATGAGCGGCACTAAGAAGGCTGGGGGAAGGGAGCGGGAAAAGGCAGCCGCAGAAGTGAAAAAGCAACATGAAGGCAGCGATGTGTTTCAGATGACATGTTCAGACACAACAGCGTTTTCCTCCCTGGCCACATCTGAGAGAGTTCATGAGGGGATCGCTAAACCATTTGGAGTCCTTGGTGTGTGTGTGTGTGGGCGGTAAAAAGAGAGAGACTGTATGTGAGAGGAAAAACGAAGAGAGATTGAGAGAAAACACATTTTGAACATTGCCTCTGTGCTCTGTGGCCAGTGTTTGGTGAATATTTAGGGCAGCCTTGCTGTTTTAAAATGGACCGGCAGATGAATGGGAATGAATGGGAAATGCACCTCAAATGTCCCATTTTTTGGTCTTTGTCATTTTCGGCTTGGCCTCTGAGATCCTGAATTAACAGCTAAAAGTTCCTGGTTGTCCAAAATGAATGTCATAACAAGTCTTAAATAGCAGTTTCTTTCTGTGATGCCCCAACACTCTAGGACCCTGAACTGGTGAGGAACATCTGTCGCTGGGTCAGAAAGGCCACCACCATCCCCTTCTTTGCCAAGCTCACACCCAACGTCACCAACATCGTTGACATCGCCAGAGCCGCATATGAGGGTATGAGCAGCCTCACCTACAGATACATCTGACAGTAGATGTAGTCATTTTGAGTGCATTTATAGATGATGTGTGGATTTTTTTAAATAATATGTTAATTATGATGGGGAGGTCTTCTAAAACAGAAGTGCATATATAAAATATTGGAGTCTGTAAGTTATAAATATATATTTTTTTTTTCTTGAAAAAGTGACATGCTCACCAAGACTGCATTTAATCAAAAATAATGTGTAATATTTTTCAAAAAAAAGCAAAACAATTATATATATTTTTAATTTTTTTATACTGTATATATATATATATATAATTTTTTTTAAGTGACATATAAAAAAAAAAAAATAATAATAATGTGTCATATTTTACAATTGAAAAAAAAATATATATATATTTATTTTATTTTTTATTATGTAATTTACTCCTGCTCTGGAAAAGTTGTATTTTCAGCAGCCATTACTTAAGTCTTCAGTGTCACATGATCCTTGATTTAGTGCTCAAAAAATATTCATATTTTTATTAATGAACAGTTCTGCTTAATATCTTTTTGTGGAAACCATGATACCTTTTTTCAGGATTGTTGAATAAATAGAATGTTCAAAATAACAGCATTTATTTAAAATATAAATCTTTTGAAACATTTCATGAAAAACATTGACAATTTTTCTTCACGGTCAGTTTTAGTCAATTTAATGCATCCTTGCTGGATAAGTGTTAATTTCGTAAAATAATAATTTTACTGATGCTCAAATTACATTCAACTCATTAACCTAATCAGTGTTTTTTAAATTACATTTTCATAATCATGACATTATAATTATGACACGCACACCATTTTCAAATGGAGGAAAACTATTTTGAATAAGATTCTATTGTTTATATGTTCCATGTGCTTGTACAGACCTACATAGTAAGCAGCATATTTTTCATGCACATTTTTCCTGATATTTTCTTCTGCTCACTCATGCCATTTATTACACTGCACTTTAAATCATTTAACCCCATCATTTATTCTCATTCATGTTCTTCACAATAGAAGTCAAGAGGGTGAAGCATAAATTGTACAATATAAGCCAGTAACCTTTTTTAAATATAAGATTTGCTGAGTATTGATTTATGTTCATTTTGTTACCAAGCTCCTCCTGGCTCCAAATTTGTGTTTGATGTTTTACATTACATTACAACTACTTATTTTTATATCTGTATTCTCATGAACACATACAGATATATAACAAACAAGTGAATAAATATATTCTGACACATACATCGTAGACATGCATAAGAACATTTTCAAGTCAGTTTGTGCTTTGATAAATCTTGATTTGTTCCTGCTTAACATAGGATCACATCTATACAAATTAGCATCATAATGTAATTATGCATGTGTTTTATAAATGACACACAAAGTGTGGCTGGTTCAGGCTTTTGAAAGAACCTCTGTGGTTGTTTGTAGGTGGGGCAGATGGAGTAACAGCCACCAACACTGTATCTGGACTGATGGCTCTCAAAGCAGACGCCACACCCTGGCCTGGGATTGGCAGAAGTGCGAGAACTACATACGGCGGAGTTTCTGGTGAGTGAGTGAGAGTGAGAGTGAGAGTGAGAGTGAGAGAGTGTGAGAGAGTTGGCCGGCGCACTGGCTGCCGAGATGTCTGGGCTTGCTCTGGTCAGGTCCTGCCTGCTCAGACAGATGGATTAGATCAGGTGTGAAAGAACTGGGCATGCTCTCTGCTCTCTAGAAATGGAGCTTCATTCTAGGAGACTTCTAGTAAAAATATATTAATCCAGCTTGAAGTACTGAAAAAATTAACTTTGTCAATCTGTATTTTTAGATTATTCCAGTAAAAAATATCTTCCCTAAATATCCTTAAAACAAGATATTTACTTGAGAAAAATAATTGCATATTAAGAAATGAAATTCATTTAAAGAGACTTATGCTTAAAGCAAGGAAAAAATATATAAAATTGTTTTATTATTTAAATACACTTTACTCAATTTTCAAACTATTGTCTTACTTCAAAACCTGTTTTAATATATGTCAGTCATTTTACATCATATTTCAGTAAAAATATATATTTTAGAAAAATTTTAAATTTAAATATCCATAAAAACAGATTTTACTTGAGAATAAAAATGACATAGTAAGACTTTTAAATTCAGTTCAATTAATCATATCATAATTACTAAGATTCATTTTCATACATGAATGGTAAGTTGTGTTTTTCTTGCTTTAGTGAGGCTTGTGCTTTAAAACAAGAAAACAACAATTTTGCCAAAGGAGTAATACAAATAAACTTATTTAAGATATATTCTCTGAAAGCATGTTTGTGGTTCTCAAGTAAATTTATCCAATGTTAAGGATATTTTTATTTGTAAACAAGATAAATACTAATTGAGAAATAGTGTAATAGATATTACTGCAAATGTGTTTGGCATGCACATTTTTAAACTCCCATGTTATACGTTCACAGTGTATGCATTTAGAAGTTACTTCCTTTAGTGTTCGGAAAGAACATAAATGTCAATATGCGTCTGTGTGCTTACCACTAATAAAAACAATCTCTGTGGTCACACATATTAAACAACTTTTAAAAAGCATGATTCAGGTGTGTGCTTTATAGTTTCAGCTGTGTACAGTTGAGTGTGTTAAAGCTTCACCTCAATACACCTCTCCCTTCTCCCTTCAGCTGAGCTGCCACAATGTCTGCAGAGGCAAGGACAGGGTCAGAAACACGGCCTGCATTAAATTAATACTCATACTTTTGAGGCTCTATTTTATGCAAGCAAAACTGACTGACTGTCATATTTTTCACTTTTGAAGTCTTATGGGCCTCACTGTGCAGCTCTCCCATGGGACCCAGTCTTGCAGCAATGGTCCAAGACTCTGCCCGAGACCAACCTATTGATCAGCGGGGCTCTAAAGGGCCCCACATATTTTATCTGCTCCCAGTACAGTAGCTCTCCTCAGACTTTTTGTTTCAGAAGCCCATATCCAGAACATAAAACCATGTCCAGAGCATCCAGGGGCACATAAATGTGTGCCACCCTGAGCTCTCGGTGGAGTTGGCTTGATTCTCTAATGTATTCAGTAATTGAATGTTTAACTCGGCAGCAGTGGCCGGGTTTAAGGTGCTTTGATTTTTTTGGCAAGTGGCATAAAACCTGAGTGTGGAGGAAATCAATCTTTTCTGTGACATTTTTTTTTTTTTTTTTTTGTAATACATTTTTGCATTCGCCATTAATGTTTAGTAAAGGGATAGAGAGGGTATTTTAAACTTTTAGACTAATTATAACTCATTAGTCGATTAATAAAACTTGTTTAGTGCTGTTTTGTTACCTGCCCCCATTTTTGTGCTCAAATTTGTTCAATAGTCTAGATCAGGGATTTTTCATTGATGTAAGGTTGAAGAGGTTTCCATCCGTGCAAAGGTCCAAACAATAACTTAAGCAGGTTGGGTTAGGGATGCACCAATGTATCAGCCAAGAATCGATACCGGCCGTTAAAAGCAGTTATCTGCACTATCAGCCTTCGGCCAATTGTTTAAAAACAGTAAATGAATAGGGTAGAATATGTCCTGTCAATCAAAAGAAGGAAGAAAAAAAAGTGTGAAGAAACTGCAATTTATGTGTGAAGAAAAACCATCTCTTGTGTAGAATTTAGGGCTGTTGAATTAATGCAATAATACATTAATCTCAACCTCACGGCACAAAAATAGAGCAGTTAACGCTGGTTCTATTTGACCCTATAGTTGTAGTTCAAGAAAGTTTCCAGGTCTGCATTTTTTTTCCCTTCACCAAACTTTATTTGTAGTGTGCCTCCTATCCAATAATTGCAAAGAGCTTTGTGCTTTGTTACTTCTGATAAGATAAGTCTTAGCTCTCAAATAATGTCCACTTCCTCACAAAATTCAAACAGTAAATGCTGTTTGACGCTTTTAAATGAGGCGCCACAAAAATTGCTTTAGCCACCTGAGTTCAGCAGCAGCGCAAGTCATCTCTTCCACTTCATTACAAGTTATAGTGCAAAATAAACATGTCTGAACATCAAGGTATGTTGAAAGATACAGAATTTACTGAAATGTATCGTAACCACTCAATCAGTGTTCACAGTTGGTTAGTTAGTTATAAAAACACTAGAGGGGAGCGTATTTACTGTTAATTGTATATGCATGTTTGAATAAATCTGTCATGAAGGCAAGTTTTCAGGAAAACTCTTATGTGCGAGCTGTATTTGAACATTTCAGTTTTTATTTGAGTGTGATTATTAAATAGCAGTTGAATATAATAGTTTGGGCTCTGATTGTTAATTTTATAGTCATGTATCAAATGAGAGGTTCCATGTATAATTGAAAATGTCATTCTGAATAATCAGCAATCGGTATCAGAAATGTATTATTTGTGAATCCCTAGTTTGGATAGCTGTGAAATTAAATTGAAATTAAAACTGCAACTGAATATGCCATGTAGGATTACATTTATAAATTAGTGTTATATTTTCTGATTTCACTGTAACAGGACTGTCGATGAGCAATAGGGAAGTGGAGTGTGTGTGTGAGCTGAACATATTTGAAAGCTAATTACTGATTTTTAGGGAAATGGGATGAAAGACCAAATATGGTCTAGTTATCACCTAGAATGTATTGTAAATTCTCTGGTTGGCATTAGCAATACCTTGTAAAAGTTAGAGGTCATAAACCCTCAATAGTCTCTCAAGACTGCTGCTAAAGTATAGAGCAGATCTTCTCAAGCTGTGGTCCACGAAAATTCCTAGTGGTCTGTAGGGTGAAAAAAAAAAACAGTTAACACTGCACAATTAGTTGAAATAAAATCAGTATTATGTCTTTGTGATGTCCCAGCAATGCAGAAGTCTGCTATTTAATTAAGTAATTAGATAAATACAGTCTGTATGTGTTAGGTGCTGTCATCTACTACACATTCTCCAATTGTGTGTGATGCTCTTGTTTTTAACGGCACACACTTCACACAAACTCGATCTCTAGTGGTGTTTTGAGTTTTGAGAAGGATATGACAATTTCACAAGATTCAGAATGAGAAACATACTAAAGAGATCATTTAGCTAGAAACGAAAAATTTGTCAATATTAATTGAACCTCTTGTTGTTCCAAACCGAAGACTTTTGTTCATCTTCGTGATGCAAATTAAGATATTTTTAATTAAACCTGAGAGATTTCTGGCCCTCCGTTCATCACAAAGCAAGTGTGTCTCTTCAGTTATGATCTGGCTCATGTTCCCCTGTCTTTGTGTTTGGACTTTTGCGTTACTTCCTGTCTAGAGTGCCTTTTGTAGTTCTTTTGTTTCATTGGTCCTCTTGATTACTTTCCCAGGTGTGTCTTGTTACCTTGTCATCTTGTTAGTGTCTCTGTGTATAATAGTTCTGTGTTTTAGTCAGTCTGAGTCAGCCGTTGTCTTTGCAAAGTTGTGGCATGTTTCTGTTTCCTGGTTCTCTCTGTGTTTGGTTCTATGTTTCTGGATTTGGATTACCTTTTGTTTTATTAAATGTTCCACTGATTGCATTTGGGTCCTACCTTGATTCTTCCTTGCATTGATATGTTACAAAACCACTCTTTATGACCTCTTTATAAACTGTTATAAAGTTTTCTGACAAAAATCTTTTAGGTTTCATTAAAATATCTTAATTTGTGTTCTACGAGTCTTACGATTTTGAACAACATGAGGGTCAGTAAATGGTGACAATTTAAATTTTTGGGCGCACTATCCCTTTCTTGGTGGTTTGACATGCTATGTGAAAAAAAATACCACAGTCATACATTTGTACGGTTTCATAGAATGCTGTTCCGTACCCACTGTATATATATATATATATATATATATATATATATTATATACAAAAATTACATAGTCTATGTTGCTTCAGATGCAGCTTCTGTGTCATCTTTGCAGTGTAGTGACAGCTGAAAATGTTTGTGTATGGAGAAAAACATTGCTATGCTTTGATTACATTAATTTATGAGAAATTATTTGCAGTCCGGATGGAGCCAATGCGGAGTACGGATTCAGGCCGTGGTCCGGTAATTGCTGACCTCTAGTCTAGATCACATGGTCAGTTTATTTTTCCCCTGGTTGAGCCTCCCACTGTGATTTCATTTAGCTGGCAGCGTGTTCCTCATTTGATGTGTGTTTTAATGATTGGTCATGCCGACCGACTGGTCTGTTGTCACAAATATATTATTGCATCTTTTTCATTGTGCATAGAAAACCATGTTCCCCAGACACCCTGGGAGCATCGGCAGGCATAATTAACAGAGAGCTTCACCGTCATTCTCGTCTCTTATTTGCTTTTGTTATCTGGCCGGGTCTTTTTTGAGGCACAACATATTTGGGTGAAGATAGAAATCGTAGAGGATGCAGAGACCCCACACTCCGTCTCGCGCTGTGTTTAGAATTATTAATCAGAGAGTCTGGCATCGGGAGCGGACGCCTCGTGCTAACAGATGCCACCCGATGACCTCACTGAGCTGTCAATCACCTCAGCACGGGACCAGACTGAGGATGGCGCTCGTCCAGAGCTGTGCTCGCTAACGTTGGAGCTGTGATTGTATCTTTCATCAATACCTCATTACTCTAAGCAGGTCCTGAGCGCTAGCGGGTCCAGGACGTCTCGAAGCACAGACTGTGCTGTCTGTAAAGCACAAGTGTGATACTGCTGAACACATGCAGCCTACAGAAAAAAGAACAGGACTAGGAAAAGTATAGGTTCATAGGTTCAAAAGCCTCAGTAACTGTGTTTGTGTGCTTTCACAATGGCGCTCACTATAGCAGGCATGTAGGAAGTGCTGAGAAATTAAGTAATTTTATGTACATCTTTTTACTTTTAATTCTGCTTGGCACAGGGCATGAATATGATTTTTTTAAGCGTGTTTTTATTTTATTTTTTTTATTTTCCTTACATTGATAAACTATTATCTAATAAAGCTAACCATGTTATTTATGGGAAATGTATCAATACCTACAGACCAAATTCCAAACTAGCCTCCATGGAATGGTAGCTTAATTTAATCTAAATTTCCTTCTTTTTTTTGTATACATTTTATTTTATTTTTTAATTGAACAACTAAAATTGCTAAACTGTATTTAGACTGTCTTAAATGTTGGTAAAACATTTTTTAAATAATAATAATAATAATAATAGTTTGATCGTTGACGTTTCTGATGTTGAGTGCCTCTTTTTGATTTGTTGAAGAAAAAACAAAAAAACAGCAATTAATTTCTAAAATTCCGACCCTATTTTGAACTATTTATGGGAAGATTAGAAAATAATCATAGAAGTCTGGCATACTCCCCAAGATATGCTCAGTTTCACAGGAAGACTGGGTTAAGACATTTTAAAGATTTTAATAAAAAAATGCATATCTATATTTTTTACTTTCGACGTCACTTCGATATTTGAGTGTAGCGTTACACTTGAATATAGTTTATAAACTGACCAGTGACAAGTGTCAAGTTGTTTTCAACATGGTTATGGTTTTAATTAAATTGCTTTATGTGAAATACTCGCTCTTCACCAGGGTGTATGATCATAATGGCTAGTTACATTTCACATCGAAATACATTTCATTTGCAGATTTAGGTCAAATTCACAGGAAAATGTGATTTGACTTCTAAGCTCAAAAAGACAAACATAATTTTGAATATATATTTATGTCATGATGACAAGTGAAGTATGCATTTTGCAGGGTCTAAATTAAATTGCAGTGAGTAAAAGGTATGTTTTTTTTCATTAGGAATATACTGTAATTAAATAAAAATGCAGGTACTGTTTCAGTAGTGTTTGAGTGAAGTACAAATGTAGTGATGGATTACAGAACTAAAAACCCCCGCTCAAGAGACAATATTAGACACTCTGAGCTAAGTTTAGCATTAGCCTGGATGTGCTGCTGTTGACATGCAGTGAACTTGTGCCGACAACTTCACCACAGGTACTGGTGACAAACAGGCGTGAGCGACCCTGCTTGACAAGGACACGTTGGGGTTGTCAGAGCAACAGGAGCTGTCAGCGCGGCTGGCGTGAAAAACAAGAACAAAGTGCTGGGAAGGACAGAGCCAGTGCCACAATAACATCACAACAATATCACAGGACTGAAGCTTTTCTTGAGTGGAAGTGTGCTGCCTGACAACATTATCTGTGTCGGCTGCCATTGGCTGACAAGTGCTTTGATGGCTCTCAACATTTGTTGCACAAGTCGTGTCCATATTAATGTGATTGTGACATCACTCACAGTACAATAGCCCATTGCCGGATGAGGTGTAGCAGATGTCTTACTGGGACATTATTACCTCGATACATTTGACTCACACAGACATTTGAGAATGATGTGTTCAGAGCTCCAGCCTCTCGACTTAAGCTGTAGTGAGCCGAACACTCATCTCTAAATCACACCCAAATGGCTTTCATTGCGAGCCGAGTGATGTCGTCTTATGATATTATGTTGTCAGAATAGAGCAGAGATGACAAATTCTACCTGACATGCCATCCATTCAACCAACAGGTGGAAGAGCAGAAAAAAAGTGAGGGCGGCAGGAAATGCCAGAGGCTTAGGGAAGCATCCATATGTACATAATTAACCATGCGGCATCGGGATGCAAAAAAAAAAAAAGTGCCGTGATTGAATTTATCTCCCCAATTTGGGAATATAGGGTGGGTGATGAGGATCGTTTAGCATGCCGGAGTGGGGCTAAAAAAGAAGGCTGTCTCGAGCCATCAAATGGTGGAAGTGGAGTTCTGAGCCACGCCGGCGAAATGAATGTGGACAAACGTACGGCTGTGATCAATGAATGGGAATCTGCTGGGAAAATGAGGTTAAATGTAATGTGATAAACACTTCCATCTGTCTGGCTGATCAGAAAGCCACTCGGCTTTCATTAGGGAATCCTGCCATCCTGAAAGACGAAGAGAGAAAGGCACGGGGAGGGTTGTGCTGCTGCATAGGTGAACCCAGGCACCTGTAGACACAGTTTCTCTGATCCCAAACCCAGTGAACTGCTTCACTGTCTAATATGGAACCTTGTAAGTGACTGTTATGAAACGCTCTACATAGGCAGCACACAAACAGCACTCCACTCTGGAGACTTGACTTACAATAGAGCACTGCAGGAATGAGTACTAAACTCAAAAACGAGCATTTTTGCAGTACACATTCCATCATTCCGAAAACAATGGTGTTTTTGTTTAAATGCCTGAAATAAGGTCTGTACTAATCCACTTTTACAGACTTGTTGTTTTTAAACTTGCTCTCAACTTGCTAAGTATTTTAACTAAAACCTACCAGCTTTTAGATTTTAAATAAAGATGGAAAGAATTGTCAGAACTTGGTGGTTGAGACGTTAAAGTTGTGCGACTGTGGTGTAGTTCGTTTGTAGCCTAATTTTATTATTTTCTTTTTGATTGTATTTATGATTCAGAATGCATTTGTTGTGTTCATTTCTGAATATTATTTTGATGAACAAAATATGTAAGAATGGAAAAACCTTATTGGCTTTTCGTTGAGGGAACCAGGGTGATGCTAACTTTCGGAATGAACTACAAAAATACATCATAACTGTAGCGCTCTATTGATTTCAGAAGATGTTGACATCAGCATGTTGCTAACCTAACAGTGCAATACTCTAAGCATAAAAATACATAATAAATTTTAGTATATTAAATCTGTAATTATATTAAACATGTTTTTTAAACATTTGGTGCTTAAAAAAATATATTATATATTTTTAGGATTATTTGAAGAATAGAAAGCTTAAAAAAAAACAGCATTTGAAAAAAAATATTTTGAGTAGTTAAATGTGTCTTTACTGTCACTTTTGATCAATTTAATGTATCCTTGCTTGTTAACTTCATAATGTCACCAAACCTTTGAACAGTAGTAGTATAAGACAATGGGCCTGTTTACACCTGGTCACTTCATGCATTTTCTCTGATCGGATAGTTCTCATTTGTTAAAGCAATTCCATTTACACTTGGCCACATAAATGTGTCACCGCAAAACAGATATAAATCTGATCTTCAATTCCCGCGCTATATGCAAATTTAACGGAGTTCACGTCAATGAAAGCAACAGATATGCACTGCATTTTATTCATAATCAGCTAATGTCAAGATCAAAGACCGCAATAGGAGAGAGAGTGGCATCAGCACTGGAAAGATAAGTTAGTCTTACTACTTTTACTGAAGATGATTGTGTGTTGAGCATCTGCGACTTATTACTTTCAGTTTCATTTGTGGCAGTTTGTAGTTCAGCTTGCTGAAGAGATACTCAGCTTCTCATCTGTGGCGATGCGCGTCATATCCAAGGGTTTGTTTAGTGTTTTTGGAGGCCCTCAGCAAGTGGTCCCGTGGGGCCCCCTTTGATAGAAATCACATTCCGCGATTGCGTGGGTTGCATGGTGCCTAAACACGCTACTGGTCATATCTGGCTATAACATGTCATATAGCACGCTATATAACACACTCTCACACGTTTATTTTTTAACATTTTGGGAGGAGTAAAATTTACATATGTGGTTTCAACACCCAGATGCATTTACACCTGTCCAGTTTCATCTGGAATGCGTACTAGGCCACCTCCTGAAGTGGTTTGAGCGATTGGATTTGAATCCATCTCGAAAGCGTTTCGGAGAGCATTTACACCCGTTTTGTCAGAGAAAACACATGAAGTGACCAGGTGTAAACAGGCCCAATAAGACATGCTCCGATCACAAGTTGAATTTGTAATCTGTATAAACTGATTTTATATAATTATTGTTTTACATTTAATAATGATGTTTTCCTTCCTGTATTTGGATAGGTAATGCAATCCGCCCCATAGCTCTGCGCGCGGTGTCAGCTATAGCAAAAGCACTTCCTGGATTCCCGATCTTGGCTACCGGTGGTATTGACTCAGCTGAGTCTGGATTACAGTTCCTCCATGCTGGAGCGTCTGTCCTGCAGGTAACCACTTAAATTCATCACCACCTACCATCCACCAGTAACTGTAGGATATGAACCTTTTGTTTACCAGTCTAGACCTGTAACCACGTCTGTACCACCCCTCAGCCTCAATACATCCCCATTTGTAGGACCACAGCTTGGGTAAAAATATATTATTTTTGTTTCATACAATATGCAAGCCTAAAGTCTGGGTTTAAACATATACATAAAGTAGTCAGTCCTAATCAATCCCTAATAAGTAGTCTACTAACGGCTACACTCACACAGAGCTGCTACAGCCGAGAAGCAACAACAAACTCAACACAAATTGCAATTTACAACATGGCTCTGAACAAGTTGTTAGTGCAAATAAACCCATTATCTCAACATGATGCCACAGCCTCCGAAATCTCTTTTTAAATAAATAAATCAAAACACCCTCATTATGTGCAGAAATAACGTTTCACAAGTGCCTTGGAGTTCTAGGGGGGGGAAAGACTGGAATTAAAACATTTTAATCACACCCACATGTAATAGCAGAGTGCTGGCTCATAGTAATAGGAGAAATTGTAAACTAGCCAACTCCTCACTACACTACAGTTGAATCAGTGTCACTAACGGGTTACAGAAACACATCGTAGCTCCATCTCCTGCTCGAATTAGATTAGTCCAATGAGCTTCTCTGGCGAATAATGTTAACCTCTCACAGACTCACAAGACAAACAACACATGTGATAGTAAGTAAATAAGAAAATTGTTATTTATCTAACACTTCTGCAAACAGTGTTTATAATGCTCTGAACAGCATATTAAAGGCCCCTTTAAATACAATTGGATATGTACACTGCCGTTCAAAAGTTTGGGTCAGTAAGATTTATTTTTAACAGAAATGAATACCTTTATTCAGTAAGGAGACATTAAATTGATGAACAGTAAAATGACTTCTCTATTCATCAAATAATCCTGAAAAGGTGCAGTGAGGTTTCCATACAAAATATTAAGCAGCACAGTTGTTTTTAAAATTGATAATAATAATAATAATAATATGAAACGTTTCTTGGGGAACCAAATCAGCAAGAATGATTTTGGAAACACTTTACTTAAAGCCTTTATGAATAATGCATTATAAAAGTAGTTTTAATGTATTAATTATGCCTTGTAATGCACCTTATAATGCATTGCACAATCTCATGAATAATTGTAACTACAGTTAATACATTATAACATTTATCAATTCATTGTTACACTATGCATTTTAAATTTGGTTATAATTATTTACGACAAGATATAATGCATTACAACGCACATTATGAATAATTATAATGCATACCCTTTAATAGCCCTTGATAATGCATTATACATAAAGGCTCTAAGTAAAAAAAATTCTAAAGAATCATGTGACATTGAAGACTGGAGTAATGGCTGCTGAAAATTCAGCTTTGCAATATATGAAAATAGATAATCTGAAATGTAATAATATTTCACAATATGTTTTTACTGTATTTTTGATCAAATAAATGCAACCTTGAGGAGCACAAAAAAAAAATATGTAGGAAAAAAAAAAAAACGTACAGATCCCAAACGTATAGTGTACATGAACAAATGGAATGAGTAGATAGAAATAAAATGCAAACAATTATGCCTTGTAATGCACCTTATAATGCATTGCACAATCTCATGAATAATTGTAACTACAGTTAATACATTATAACATTTATCAATTCATTGTTACACTATGCATTTTAAATTTGGTTATAATTATTTACGACAAGATATAATGCATTACAACGCACATTATGAATAATTATAATGCATACCCTTTAATAGCCCTTGATAATGCATTATACATAAAGGCTCTAAGTAAAAAAAAATCTAAAGAATCATGTGACATTGAAGACTGGAGTAATGGCTGCTGAAAATTCAGCTTTGCAATATATGAAAATAGATAATCTGAAATGTAATAATATTTCACAATATGTTTTTACTGTATTTTTGATCAAATAAATGCAACCTTGAGGAGCACAAAAAAAAATATGTAGGAAAAAAAAAAAACGTACAGATCCCAAACGTATAGTGTACATGAACAAATGGAATGAGTAGATAGAAATAAAATGCAAACAAAGAGAAATGTACAGTACATTTTCAATTTCATGTAGGTTCACGGGTATTAAAATCCACAGTTTTGGACCTTCCTGGTAAAGACATATCATTGTGTGTTGAGACATAAGTAGCAGTAAAGTGATTTACATGCTGAAGTGATGTGATTCAGTGGAGTAATGGACAATATTTTTTATGGAACGTTGTTCATTATAAAATTAATAAAATACAATTACTCTTTCTAGACAGGTCTTAGACAGGGCAGCCAAAACACTACTGCAATAGTGAAGTCTTGATGTGAAAAAGGTGTGAATGAGATTCTCAATGTCAGTAGGGGTATAATTCACAGAGCTTAGAGATGTTCTGAATGTGATAATATGCTGTTTTACAAACGTTGTTAGTATAGTTAAAAAAATATTCAGAGACAATTAGTTTATATATGGCACAATAAAACTGTATTTAAGAGTCTCTAGTTGCAATCTTTAGATGTAGTCCAGAAGTGTGCTAATTGGTTTGTGGGCATCTGGAGCAAGTAAAAAAAATACTTATAATTATAATCGTTATAGCTGATGAAAAGTTATAATCATTTACATACTGATGAATAGATGCACATGTTTAAATAATAAAGGACTTAAAGGGATAGTTCACCTTCAGTTGATGGTCCCCATTGACTTGCATTGATTTTTTTTCCCCCATACTATGGAAGTCAATGGGGACCAGCAACTGAAGGTGAGCTATCCCTTTAACTGAGTCATGGGGAATACCACAAGTTATCTGGTGTTGTGTGCACCTAGTGCAACATAGTATTTACTGTCGCTTAAGATCTAAACTAATCTAGAACTGAGCCTAATAGGTCAGTCAGTCAAGCACAATCTTATGATCAACAGTTTTAAAGACAGCTCTGAGATCAGAAAGATCTAGGATTGACAGATTACCTTATTAACTTGCAGATCTGTTAAAAGAGCCATTTTATAGCTATGGTAAGGCCAGACTGGAATGTCTCATTAGGATTATTAATTTTGAGACCGTTGTAAGAATACTGTTTTCAATTATTTTGAAATGGAAGATTGGAGGAGAATCAGGATCATTTTGCTTCACCAGAGGCCTAACAGTTGCGGTCTTTAAACTATGTGGTAAAATACTTGCTGGAGGAACTGATTAACAGTGTCCAGGATGTTCAGTAATTAGGAGTTTAAAACGGTTTTGAGCAAGTTAGAGTGCAATGGGTCAAAAAAGGACCCTTAAAGAATTCATAAGTGATGTGACCTGGGTGAGTTTATTAAGGCTGATGATCCTTTTTATAGCAGTGGATGGAGAGTTAGAAACCACTCCAAAAGGAGTAGTGTCAGCTGTGGTTTGTCTGATGGTAATGGATTTCATCAGTGAAGAATACTGCAAACTGTACTTTTTTATTGGGAAACGCTTACATGATATTTGAGGTGAGGGGTTAAACAGCCTCTCTATGGTGGAGAAGATGAATCTAGGATAGTCTCCGAGTCTGTTAAATTTGAGATTGTCTGGCAGACTTCATCTCATTATTGAAGGGGTCATATCATGGGGAATAACATTTTTCTTGATCTTTAAAAAAAAAAAAGAAAAACTGTGACTGTCAAAACGTCCTCCCTACTCCAAAAAGACCATTTATTGAATCTACAAGCTGCAAAACCGACTCATTCTGAATTTCCACAACTGATGTCAGGGAGATACATATATACACTATATACTACATTTTTAAAAATGTGGGTTGGTAAAATGTAATGTTTTTGAAAGAAGTCTCTTATGCTCACCAAGGCTGCACTGATTTGATTAAAATACAGTAACAACATTTTCAGCAATTTTCAGCAGCCATTACTCCAGTCTTCAGTGTCACATGATCCATCAGAAATAATTCTAATATACTGATATGGTGCTGAATAAACATTTCTTATTATCAATGTTGACAACAGTTGTGCTGCTGAATATTTGTATGCAAACCGTGATACATTTTTTTTTTTCAGGATTCTTTGATAAGTAGATAAAAAAACAGCATTTATTTGAAATAGAAAACTTTTGCGCATTCTTTCAGAATAAAATGAAGTTATTTTAAAAATAATCATACTGACCCAAACTTTTGAACAGCAGTTTACGTCAACATTTATATTTCCAATGTTCCGAAACTGTGAACTTATAAGGAGACAACTGAATAGGTGCTATTATTCTTAAACAGTAGAATGAACTAAGGAATTTGAGCTGTTTCTGGCTGTGTGTAGCCCAAAGGTTGTACATTTTTTTTTTTCAGGATTCTTTGATAAGTAGATAAAAAAAACAGCATTTATTTGAAATAGAAAACTTTTGCGCATTCTTTCAGAATAAAATGAAGTTATTTTAAAAATAATCATACTGACCCAAACTTTTGAACAGCAGTTTACGTCAACATTTATGTTTCCAATGTTCCGAAACTGTGAACTTATAAGGAGACAACTGAATAGGTGCTATTATTCTTAAACAGTAGAATGAACTAAGGAATTTGAGCTGTTTCTGGCTGTGTGTAGCCCAACGGTTTGGCCATTCTTTGAATCTGAAGGCAAATGTGTTTTTAGAGCTTCAGCGGAGAGGAAGATTATCAGTAAACAACAACTTAAATGAAATGAAACTTAGTCCTGTTGCTCTGCAACCACACAATCACGCTTTCTTCCTATTATGCTGCATTGAGCTATTGAATACACTCTGCTTTTAAGAAGACCCATACACACTAAAAATAATGATGTGTATAGTGTAATCACTGGTGTTTCACTAAGTCTGGGCCCTGAGGTCTGTTTATCTGTGCATATTTAACAGGTGTGCAGTGCTGTGCAGAACCAGGACTTCACAGTGATTGAGGACTACTGTTTAGGCCTGAAGACGCTGCTGTATCTGAAAAGCATAGAGGAGCTACACGATTGGGATGGCCAGTCTCCTCCAACCATACGCCACCAGAAGGGCAAACCAGTCCCCCGCGTGGAGGAGCTCGTCGGAAAGGTGAGCATCTCTGTGGCTGGTCGCCTAAGGCTCATTCTAAAAAAAATGAAACTCTGTGGTGTTTCTCTGGTTAAGCTTTAGTGTTTTGTGTTGCAATTAAACAGGCAAAATCTGCCTGGTGTGGATATAATGCTTTGAGTCATGAAGGATGTTTAAGGTTGTGGGTCTTAGTAACATAGCCGCAAGTATGATGCTAAAAGGTGTGAGAGTAATTTACTTTCCTCTGCTTGGCGAGAAAGAAGCCCCAGGCTTTTTCAGACCGGTTAGTGACCCTGTGACCAATGGTGGCTCTCAGCTACGCTGTGCTGTAAAGTGTGGTATGAAACCCATCTAGTTGTGCACAAATATAATAAATTCTTCTGTGATCGATATCAACAAAGAGAGTTTTTATTTTTTTATTACATTTTGGGTTTTAGTTGTGAATTGCAATGCACACAGAAAGTACAAAATGTGAGGGTGCTGAAATGCTGGATAATCAAAGCCGTCATGTTTTTCGACTGGAATTACCATATATTTATTTTTAATATCACTAAATTATTCAAATTGTGATTATGTTTGTCTCTCTCTCAAACTCAACCCTCCTCTGAAATTTCACAGTTGCACAAAGATATTTTCCCCATCGCTACACCATATTCACACAGCATAAAAACGAAACATATGCAAATGTTTCTCTCTCCATAAACAGTTTTGTGCTTCTGTTAAAAGTGATGGTGGGGGAAAAACACTGAATTGATAAGTGCTATTCCTCGACTACAACATGATTTTGAAAAACATGAGGGGTGAAATCTCTCTCTCCGTTTCGTGCTAACAGGGTGTCTGTAGAGCCCTGTCCAGAAACAAGCACACAGTTTTGGAAAACTTGTGGGAGGAGGGTGTTCAGACACTTGTATTTGCTTTTATTTTAACCACATATTTTTGTCAATATGCACTGCATTTTTTTCTTGTCGTCTAGTAAAAATAAACATCCTTAAAGATGAAGACGATAAGCTTTGTAATTGCACAAGAGACAAAGCGGTCCTATTATGCTTTTTCACTTTTTCAACATTAGTTAGCGTGTAATGTTGCTGTTTGAGCATAAAGACTATATGGTCAGACTACATCGCGTTTCTTCTGGAAATCACAACGTCACTTATTTAAATAATTCCTGCCCATGGAATAAGCAAAAAAGCGGGTGAGGCCTGTTTGAGCTGCGCTAGAGAAGATGAAGAAGAGTTGCTTTAGTAGCATGTTGTTGCCATGTTGAAAAGATGCTGTTTCTTCCACCCCGGTTCAAACCCTTTTGTTTGGGTTTACAAAGGTTTTGGAAAACTAGGAGTGAGTGATCCTCTTGTTCATAAACATTTACAGGGTCTGAATCGGGCTCAGACTGGTATGGCAAAATTGACGTCATCGTTAGTATTTACAGGTGAGCAGATGAAACGCAGTTAAGGGGCTTGACATTTCCAGAACTCGCTTCACAACACACTGGACCAGCTAACCAACGAGGGGTTACGTCGAAACAGGACGTAAGCAGGGTGTTTGAGACAGACAGGAAAGAGAGGTGTTGCAATAATGTAAAATAAGTTTTTTTTAAAAAGTAAGTTTTGGAACCCCCAAAGTATATTATTGGTAACAATTTATAATAACATTAATTACTAAATCATTAACAAACATTATAATGCTTAAAGGGGTCAAATGATGTTGCTAACAAGAACATTATTTTGTGTATTTGGTGTAATGAAATGTGTTTATGCAGTTTAAGGTAAAAAAAAATAAAAACATTTTCCACATACTGTACATTATTGTTTCTCCTCTATGCCCCGCCTTTCTGAAACGCGAGGTGTGCTCTGATTGGCCAGCTATCCAGTGCGTTGTGATTGGCCGAATACCTCAAGCGTGTGATGGAAATGTTACGCCCCTTGCCATATTGTGATGCCTTGTCCCGGCCGGAGCGACGAGACAAAAACATTAAAACCCATTATAAACAGTAGCGGGCCGTGCATTTTACACCTAGGCCTTCAGTGGCATCCTACATGAATTAATCCATCTCTTCATACCATCATAATGATGCCACGGCTATAGAAACCATAAATATTACACAGTAATGCAGTATAACAGGACACTACATAACAGATAGGTATCTTATGTAGCGAGAATGAATGCCATTACTAAAGAAAGAAACCCAATTAAAAATTACGCAACACATCATCTGTAGCTGAAGCATTAACCTAACAAAATGACACAAATACAGTCCATCTGATGTTCTTACAGACATTTATTCACCCAAACGCATTTACACTTTACAGATAGCATTGGTATAAATCAAATAAGGTGATTACATGTGTTTTAAAGTTTCTGCTTTTCATCTTCACTAGTCTCCCCGCCGGTCTGTCAGCGCGCTGCGGGAGGAAAATACTGGTTAGCACAGCTTTACTAGGAAAGTGAGCAAGTAACATTAAAATAATTCATACAAGATGATGAAGAAAAGGGTATACATGTGTTTTAACGTACCTGTGACTCATTTTCCCGCTGGTCTGCCTCTGCCAGCGGCACTGCGGCCGGAGGAAAAGACCGTTTAATACAGCTCCACTCGGGAAACTGAGATATTCTTACGGAAACTTAAACCTGGCTTTATATCGCACCAATATCATCAGAATACAACGCATCAAGCGATAAAAATGAAAATGAAGCTACCATACTCTAGTGGTTTTTCATCTTCA